AGATGATGAATGAAGCAAGACGACCAGAAGACAAAGAAAATCAGGCAACAGAGGAGGTGTCTTTTCTAAATTTACTGAGAACCCCACGTCTCAGACAACGAACGCTCATTCTTTGGTTTCTGTGGTTCAGCATGTTTTTTGTTAATTTTGCGTTTGGAACAAATATTGGCAAGCTAGTTCCTGGTAATATATATCTCAATTTGGCTATTGTATCAGCTGGTTCTGAGATACCTACATTTATTACAATTTGGTTTGCTTTATTTAAATCTGGAAGAAGGCTTGCAATCATGATCTACATTCTGATAAGTGGATTATGTTGTTTACTGATGATACCGCTTATATTAGTGAACATAAAATTATTGGTGACCATAGCTGCTATGATAGCAATGTCAACCGTGAAGACCACTATATGGGTCGTTTTTCTGTATACAGGAGAAATATATCCAACACCAGCAAGAAACATCGGCTTTGGGACAGCTTCGAGCATCGCTCGAATCGCATCTTTGATATCCACTCAACTTTCACTATTGGCAAATGTATGGTTTGGCCTGCCCTATGTTTTGCTTTGCGTATTTCCAATTGTCTCGAGTGTTTTAGCATATTTCCTCCCTGAAACCAAGGGTCGCAACTTGCCAGAGACATTTGAAGAAGCAGAGTTATTCGGGACTCCTGAATACAATAATTTGGATTATAAAGCGCACATTGGAAAGGAATCAATGCTGGAAGAGCCATTCATAAATCATGCAACATCTGATAGAACTTCTAACCATGCATAGGCAAACTGTCAAGATTTCCCGGGTATAATTTTATGACCCCTAACAAAATATGTAATTAAAATAACATATTAACATTTATTAAAAGAATAACCTGTGTTCGTATAAATATAAAATAAGAAAATGAATAATACGAAAATTTGTACACTAGCTAACACCTAACGCCTATCTTACTTAACAGATCTATCTGCGTTCAAATTAATAACTCTTAAACGTGATAATTCACAAATAGTCCCTGATCTGTTCCCAAAAAATGATTGTACCGTTTGAAAGAACAGACTTTCCTTATGAAGAAAACACCTCTTATATTGATAGAAACAGGGGCAAAAGGCACCAAAATGGGGTAAGACAAGGTGACATTCTGAAGTCTCACTTTCTTGTCATCACGATTCCAGGAAAAACACTTTGCAGATATACTTCAAATGTTTTTCAAAAAATATAGAATATATATTGATAGAAACAGGGGCAAAAGGCACCAAAATGGGGTTAGACAAGGTGGCATTCTGAAGTCTCACTTTCTTGTCATCATGAATCCAGGAAAACCACCAGATGCATTTACTTCAAATTTACACACATGTTACATGGTAACAAGTTCTAGAGATGATAAACTTTCTGGCGGCCATCTTGCATTTTGGTGGCCATCTTGGAATTTTTTAAGATAAATATTGTTATCGCGATTCCAGGAAAACCACTTGAATTAACAGATGTATATCAAATGTTCACAAATGTAATGGCAAAAACTCCTAGACCTCATTATTTTTTCAGTGGCCATCTTGCATTCTGGTGGCCATCTTGGAAGTTTTTGGATAAATCTTGTCATTGTGATTCCAGGAAAACCACTTTACTGATTTTCTTGAAATGTTTACAAATGTTACATAGTAGGTTACATGCTACCTTTTATATTGATATAAACATGGGCAAAAGGCACTAAAATGGGATTAGACAAGGTGGCATGTAATACCATGTAATATGTGTATAAATTCGAAGTAAAACTGTCAAGTGATTTTCCTGGGATCGTGATGACTAGATTTACATAAAAACTTCCAAGTTGGCCGCTAGAATGCAAGATGGCTACCGAAAAGTTAATCAGCTCTAGAACTTCATACCATGTAACATGTGTGAAAATTTGAAGTAAATCTGTCAAGTGATTTTCCTGGAATCACAATGACAAGATTTATCCAAAAACGTCCAAGATGGCCACTAGAATGCAAGATGGCCGCCGAAAAGTTAATCATCTCAAGACTTTCTGACCATGTAACTTGTGTGTAAATTTGAAGTAAATCCGTTTGGTTTTCCTGAAATCCTGATGACAAGATTTATCTTAAAACTTCCAAGATGGCCGCCAGAATGCAAGATGGCTACTGAAAAAACTAATGAGGTCTAGGACTTTTTACCATATAACATGTGTGAACATTTGAAGGACATCTGTTAAAGGGTTCCGATAAGCTTCCCGTATAAAATGAAAATCTCCCTTTTATAAATGTGTGACGATCTATACTATACCAATGTTATATAAAAGTTAGAGGTGTTGACACAACGACCTCGAGCCTTTGAACCCTTGAGTATTATTCCGGGATCGAGCCTTTTATACTAAATGGTGAGCAACACCAGAAACGAGCGTTCGATTTGCTAAACGATATGCGTCACACTTTAAGTTGTTTTTCCTGAATCGATTTGGGATTTTGAAGAAACAGAAACAAATTCTCAATAAATATTATAGTTATTTTGACTACTTAGCTTTATGGCATTACAGTGACATGAAAATCTGATTCAAATGAATTAAGTCATCCTAGAAAGCCCCACCATGAGTGAGATTGTTCAAGTCTTTTTCAAATATTTGATCAATTTTGCATGGAACATGTGATATTTTATGTGTTCAGATTAGATAGGTTAATTTTTCAAACATGACTGTTCACTGTCCAAATTGGGAGGTGTTCATATTTCAAGTTTTTTTAACATTTGAGTCAATGGGAGGAAAAACGAGACCAAAAAATGTTCAAATTGGGAGGTGTTCGGATTAGCCAAGTGTTCAGATATACAGGTTTTACTGTACTACAATTGTTTTCAATCTTTTGGAGGAAAGTGTACATCATTCCAGAGAAATGACAGGTGACACACTGTTATGGGAACTGGTCATATCAGATGTTCCCACGCTTTTCGTCCAGAAGAGGTCATTTCCCAGGATTATAGATGGTGTAATGACCTTCGATAGCAAGTCGCTACTACAGTCTCAGCTGTAGTGGCTAGCCTTTATGGCTCAGGGGTAGAGTGTCTGACTCTGAGAGCGGAAGGTCCCGGGTTCGATTCCCTGTGCGGGGCATTGAATTTAGCACATTCTTTTTCGAGTCTGGTATCTGACTCGCTACACTACAGCTCCCCGACGAGCGTACCCAAGGGTCGTTACAAAATTAACCCTTTGCAAATTTGATCAAAACTGCCCCCAATCATGCATTTACTTGGCTCAGTTAAAATAGTTGATTTACATTTGAATTCGATAATAACATTTAAAAATTAAATGTGCAGTAGTAATACTTTAGTACCTCTTATTGATTAATGTATAATATTACAACATACATAATGATGTAGGCAGTTTGTTTCATATTTATCTAAAAGTGAAATTCATAATTTTAATTTACCCTCTGGAAGCCCCAAAATCAAAGAAAATGCATTTTTCTTGGTGATGTATTTTCTAAACTACCCACATTTGCTCCGATTTTCACTATGGCACCCGGCCGATTGAGTGTTTTGTTCAAAATTGAATACAATATTGAGCAAAACAATATCCATCCGGCGTCGGCCGACAATATAGACAATAAGACAATATAGAAAAAGAACAAACATTTTTAAATTGTTACCATTCGAAACACGATCATTAAATTGACGATGTCTACAATTTTCAGATTTATTTTGATGACTGGTTAAAGAGAAACATGTGTTCAATTCAGTTCGCCATATCGATACCAATTCTCCGTAACAAGAAATTTGTACGAATTGCCCTGACATTTTGACAACTGAACAAGGTAGAATATTCAGTGAATTGTAACCAAAATAATTTACGAATAAACCTGAGATTTTGACAATAAGCTCAATTCAATTTTAAAGTAATTTTATTTCATACAGAAACAATACATACGGTAAACGACACCCCAAAGGGTGTGTGTATAACTGCCCATAATACGTTTTACATCAACAAAGACACTGTGAACATGCATATGTGGTACATATTCATATTTATAAATTATCCAAGTACCTTGTAAATAAAATAAAAAGGTTCACTTTAATTTTTATTTGTTCCTAGTGTTTTTGTTTTAATATCTTTGATATCAGTGGTCAATTGTTCATGTGTCCGAGAATTAGCGATTTTCCTAGAAATTGTGACTTTCTATGATCTTATGTTTTCTAGGAAAACGGTTAATCTCGGACATATGACCAATTGACCATTGATATTCAAAGATCTGACAAAAATGTGAAGTCAGTTTTAGCTTTAGTATTTGAAGGGTAAAATATGCCTATCCTCAAGTTTCTGTAAATGATTTTTTATGCCAATACCTAAATGTTATGATACTTTTCTAGCCTTTTAAAAAAGTTGCAACATTTTTTGGCACACCCTGTATTATGCACCATGAAGTTATATAGAATTTTCTCCATTTCTTGAATCGTCTCTCAGTCATATCCTTGTCTTGTTATGTGTTGGTGCATAGTTGCTCGTGTTTTGAAATATAATTCATATAATTCTAATTCATACTTTGATGTAAGTTTATTAGGTATACTTTTAAGGTTTTTCATGGACGATACAACTGTTTGAATAGGATTAATGTCAATTATTTCCAGATCTTGAAATTTCTTTCTGAATTAGTTATTATTATCCTGTCAAAACTCTCTTGTAAAATGTGTGATTTTTTTAATAATTTCTTGCAAGCAAAACCCAATAAAATATTACAGTAACTGACGTGCAGAGTTGTAAAAAATCATTTTTTATTTTAAAGTTACGGTATTTAGAACCTCGTAAGAAAAGATTTGCTAAGACAGTAAGCTCCATAGTTAGTAAAAAATGTATTCAGAAACTTGTAAATGAGTGAAATATTTCCGAATTATTCCTTAGCCAATTTGGCAAGAACTACTTGTACATACACTTCAACAGAATCGAAATATTATGATCAAGAAAATAATGAAATGTACTATTGAGAAAAGAGTCGGAGTTGATGTTTATTAAAAAACATAGGTTTTACATGGAATGTTGTAAGCTGTGATTCATGTTCCTAGTCGTTGTTACCCCTTTAAATTATGGAGCAATACTGCACCATTCCAAACATTTAATTTCAATTTAGTATTCTTTATTTGTAATCATACGAAGGTATTGCGTTCTGGACATCTAACAATTGTTCATTTAGCGAGATGTTGGAAAGCATCCGTGTGTTTGTTGGAATGGGTTATATCCCAGCGACCTAGCCAAGGCCCAGTTACAATTGTGTTGAATTCGTCAGTCTTGCTCGGAGTCTGGAAAGTGAGTAGACACAATGACTATATGGCTAAGATGAATGTAATATGCATGGTTCAAATAATACAAAATGATGCCCAACTTTATCTCTTAATTCTCCATACAGAAGGTGACATGATTTGTTTGGGTTGCAACGAAAGGTAACTGGTCAACTCAACCCCAAGTCAACTCAACCCAAGTCAACTCAACCCTTAGTCAAGTCGACCCCAAGTCAAGTCAACCCTTAGTCAAGTCGACCCAAAGTCATCTCGACCCTTAGTCAACTCGACCCCAAGTCATCTCAACCCTTGGTCATCTCAACCCTTAGTCAACTCGACCCCACCATAAAAAACAAATAGATATACTATTTTCATGGTATGATATTGATGAATTTTGAAAGAATGAGGGACTAAAATGCTAATTTTCCAAAATAACATTATCAACTATTGAAGTTTCTGCTTAACGTATTTATAATTTTCATAAATAACAAAATAATATTTGATTAATCTTAATAGGACTATTCACGATGCTATACATATATTTCACCCCTTCATATTTGAGCTTGTTTAATCTCTCTGAAAAAATTATCTGTACACTTTTCTGTTATACCGAAATTGTTGCAACAGTATTTTTGACAACAGGTAACTTATGCAACATGTGCATTGTGCCAACATCCATCCATTACTTTGTATTGAATGATTATATATTTTGATAATAATAATAAACAATATGATTCGGTTCAAATCTTCCTTCTGATCTACAGGCGATAGAAATGTTTATTTTTTTGAAGTAAGATTTTAAAACAAGACTGAACAAACAATGGGATTTATGTTTTTCTATTTTCCATTATCTTACTCATATGTCAGGTGTCATAAACAATCAGATTGGGATTTTATGATCCAGTTTAAATCTTCGTTTTGATCTATAGGTGACAGAAATGTATTTTTCTTTGAAGTTTGATTTCAAATCAAACTGCACAAACAATTAGACTATATTGTATTTTAATCTACTTAAAACAAGTAAAATCATTTGGGTCGACTTGACCAAGGGTTGAGTTGACCAAGGGTTGAGATGACTTGGGGTCGAGTTGACTAAGGGTCGAGATGACTTGGGGTCGACTTGACTAAGGGTCGACTTGACTTGGGGTCGACTTGACTAAGGGTTGAGTTGACTTGGGTTGAGTTGACTTGGGGTTGAGTTGACCAGGAAGCCAACGAAACACGTCTGATATTGTCAAACATACCTTACTCTTTTGGCAAATTAAAACCAGAGATTGTTGGTTTGAAGACATAGTAGACGTTTTAAATGTTTTTAACGTTTTAAAACTCAGAAACAGATATTATCATAGAAACCCTTTTAGGGGTGAGATCAGATCTCCTTTATAACATTGATCAAATTCAATGGGAAAAATTTATCACTCTTTGTGGCAAGCATATTAAGCATATCGTCGCATGAGAATAACTTTGTACTATCTCACATTTTTACGGAACTGAGAAATCAAGGTTTGAAAGTTTAGAGGTCTGTATCTTACTTAGTATTGCTATGTGAAACTTGATTTTTTGTATGTCATCTGGTCTCACCCTAGAGATATCCTATATGAAATATCATACCTTGAAACAATTTACAAGATCCTTTTTTAAAACTATGGAAATGGAGTTGATACAATTTCCCACCGGAATAACAGCTTATTTCTAATTTCAAATTGTCATATCTGATATCAACTGTTTCAACCAATCAACTCTCTAAGAATTGGTCATGTGACTTGCAAAACTTGGAGTTATAACAATCTTATATTAAAACAAAGTATGCCAATATGCATGTTATGTTTTTCTGTTTGTCTGGAGATGGTACAATTTCACACTGAATTCTAGCTTAATGAGAGGGAATTGAGATGGGGCATGTATCTGAGATGAAAGCCTGTGTTTCAAATAGTAAAATTCCATGTCTATCTCAATTTTTTTGAAAATGGCAGTTAATACAAAGTTATTCTCACGCGACGATATGTTAAATACATTTTTAAATTAGAACATATCCATAAATTGATATAATTTGTAATAGTGAGGTTTTTATATTTACTCATGCAAATGTATCATAAAATATAATGTAGTGCTGTTATTTTCATTATTGTATATTATATTGTTTTGTATTTATATGTCATGTATAATGTTTAACTCTCCATAGTTTGGAGGAAATATAGATTAAACAAACAAACAAACAACCAAACAAACAAACAATAGCGTCTTCCGGATTTCAAACGTTTGTACCTCTTTGTAAAATTTCTTTTGCCAGACTTCCTTCCTATTTACAGAGAGAAACTTTTCCCAATCTGGTTGAAGATTTGGCTGTTTTGGATCGCGGAAGAGAATACCATCTTGGATATCATAGAAACCATAAATATCATTGGGTGACTGCCACCTCAAATCCATACTCCAACGTACGTCATTTGAAATATTTGGAAGACTGAAAATAAAAATTTGTTTAGTTCTTATGCTAAAAATTAATTCACTGTATATTGAATGATAAAGTTTAAACCAGAAGGCGCGATCCAGGGAAAACAGCATATATCAAAACAAATAAACATCATGAAAGACAACAGATACATTCAAAGTTGAGTGAATTTTAAAAGACATCGGAGCTTTATATATTTATTTGTTTGTAATACATTATGGTGTTATGTTGCTAGGTAAATGGAAAAAACAAATCTCGTCCATACGAGATTTATACGAGATCTACCTTCTGTGTGGCGTGAGTTGGTTGAAAAGCAAGAATCCTCCATATGGTACGTCACATGTGATAATATCATTCTTTAGGTCAGCACCTTAAATGAAAAAGTGGCAATTCTCGTTTAATCCCCACCTAAAATGTAATCGTACCATCAGCAAAACATTATTGATACCGAAGAAATGTCATTGAATACTGTACTGTACAAATAAGGTACTGTACAAAAAGAATAATGGTACTAAAACAAGCCCCTGAAGTAAACTGCATCAAATGTCAGTGGTCATGATTGAGGCATGACATTATCATTGATGAAATCTTGTCTTTTTATTTATCCATATTGGTGTTTAATACCTCTATCAACTTTGAGATCTTTCTTTCAATAATTATTCAATTTCATTCAATTTTCTAAAAAATCAAAATGTTTAGACATCGTTCGAGAATTTAAAATATAAACATGAATATATTTATTCAAATTGCACTTTTTGGTCTGAAATAACTTTTAACTGAGACTATTTTATGAAGGTCCCAGCTTTTAACTATATTCTAGTTCTCATTTTTTAATGGTGAAGAGCATTCATGGGTTCTGCTTGCAAGTTATCACTCTGATAATTTTTAATCCAGTATCAAAAGTGGCAAGTTTTACTAAATATATACTTATCATAACGATATACCTTAAATTGTTTGAGAATAAAATACCCCAATAGATCAATATGATTTTCTATAGCAGGAGGTCAAAAAAGGACTGCCATATATATTTTATATGATATAAGCATAGTATTGCAATTCATACCCAATGTGTTTCTGATGTCATCTTCTGAAAGATCGATGTACCATGTATCACCTGGAGCACAGGTATGTCTTGCACAGCCTCGCCCATGGACACCCTTCACTACCTTGACAAACCAATGTTTCACTGACATAGTTGGCAATCGTTTATTATGTAGAAAATCCAAATTCTCATGATTGAAAAATTACATGACTCGTTAATGCAAACCGACCTCTGTCCTAAGCGAAAAGCATAATGATAACTATGCGTATTATATACTCTAATTGTCTTATAGACCGATTAACGACTTTGTTTACACAAAGTTCCATTAAAATAACATTGTATTCGCTATTGTCTTCAAATAACGGCTGTCGGCTACCGAATTAACCTACTATTTTATGGACAACTAATTTAAATACGAATAGTGCCCTTCACTGTTCCATTGATATTTAAATGAGTTGGTAATAAAACTGTAGTTTAATCTGGTAGCACACAGGCATTAGTTGTATTCTCGAATACAGAAGAACTCCCCCCGCGCGAATACAAAGGTATACTTTACAATTTTGGAGGCGATCCATGGGAATCGATGCTTCCAAGATTTTTATAAGGAGTGTACCTGCATTCCACCATTGTTAGCATGTGTGTTAAGGAATGGAATCCACGCAGTCACTACTAGATGTTCGTATGAGTCTGCACTAAAGTATCCTGCGTCTGTAGAAGTTAATTATAACATACTTGTTGAAAGACTAAATGTATTTCTATAGACGAGGGGTGATATACATGTATAGTTCTCATTATATCTCTATTTTCAAAACTTATTTAATTTTCAACAGTATTAAGTGTGACATAAATGCGTTATTACAAATGGTTGCTATAGTAACCAAAAACAAAAAAGTAAAAACGTATGCTGGCATGGTTCAAGTTGAATGCTTCATTTAAATGAATACCTCTATAGTCATACCTTGATGCCACGGGACGACCGTTCCCTCATTATTAGGAACTTTGGGTCGGAGATTCCACACAGGATGCCCTGCGATTTCCGGCCCTATCAACTGCTCCATCATGTTAAGAATCCGTTCATTAGTCCACAATGTACCAAAACTCTAAATGACACAATCAGAATTAATCAAATATAAAATGATGCAGTTCATGTTTTATCATTAGTCAGAAATCAGAGAGAAAGGAGTCTAGTATGCAAAAGATTGGTATCGATATGGTGAACTTTTGGAACCAACGTTTCTCTTAAACCAGTCATCAAAAAATTCTGAAATTTTCACACATCGTCAATTTAATGGTCATCTTTTGAATAGTAACATTTTCTTTCAACTAGCTTCGGAAAGATATTTTATTTCATTCTTAAGAATTGGTAGAAAGGAACAAAAAACAATTGAAAACAATTGCATTAAAGATAAAAAAAAGTTAACAAAAACAATACTAAATATAATAATTTTTGCTTTAAATTGTTGTCAATCAGTCAACATTATATAAAGGACCGTGTTTTACAGAATGTTTTCAATAATTGGTTTAAGAGAAAAACATTGTTGAATTCAGTTCACCATATCGATACAAATCCTTTACATGTATGGCGTCCTTGAAATATGAAATTTAAAATTTTAGGAGCCTGTGCAAATTTAGGTAGGTTCACTTCTTTAAATCAAACTGAATGTGAATAGCATATACACGGTGATATAACTTCATCATGTGTGTAAATAAATTATAGATAGGTCTGGTATTTTTAGCTTGGGAATCAATGCCTATCTCTAGATGTAGTAGCATTGTTATTTCAACCCATATAACTTAAGACCTGCTCAAACCTGGTGGAACTTTCCCATCTTGAAGAAGAGAACAAACGCCCCTGGCCATTCCTCGTCCAATTTGGTCAATCTTTGGAATAAACCCTCGTTCTCGTGCAAATCTGAAATTAAGTGCAGATATTTACAAGTTTTTCCATTAGCTCTTTCGCTTGCATGGTATTTATGATAACGATGTCGATATGCCATCTAGTACAAACTTTACAGCAAACAACACTGAGCATAACACATCAGAGGCGTGGTCAGCAGGAACTAAAAAATGAGCGATGCTAATTTAAAGGAATATTCCTTGCCAGACCCTTTCTCTCTTGATATGGTAGCTATAGTTTCCATATTTAGCAAAACATGGGAAAATGTTTTAATATGGTCAATATTGATCATTTAAAAATCTAGTGCTTATTTCCAGTAAGCTGCCATCTTTTAAGATTTCTTGCAGGAAGTGATGTCATCAACTCTCAACTTCTATAACCTTGCCCATAACAGTATAGGAAAGTAGCACAAAATCACTTCTAGACAAGTGATCATTACTTTCTGTGCAAAAATATTTTGAGGGCTTGTCAACTTAGAATAAAAGAAGAGATTTTCAGAAGGATTAAATAAGATACGAAGTTGAAAAAGAATATTTAGCTGGTTTTGTAATTCTTAATAGCTCCTCACCTAATGCTATATGCAAAGTTGAGAGTCGATGACATCACTTCCTGTGTGAAATTTTAAAAGATGGCAGCTTACTGGAATTGAGCATCATATTTCTAAGTGATCAAATTTGACCATATCAAAATATTTTTGCGTGTTTTGCTAAACATGGCAAGCATATATATGGTTATAGCTACCATATGAGGAGAGAGATGGTTTGGCAAGGAATATTCCTTTAAATGAGCGAGGCAAAGAGTTAAATGAACGAGGGAGAGTTAAATGAGCGAGGTAAGGAGTTTGATGAGCGAGGCAAAGAATTAAATGAGCGAGGCAAAGAGTTAAGAGTTAAATGAGCTAGGCAAAGAGTTAAATGAGCGAGGCAGAGTTAAATGAGTGAGGCAAAGAGTTAAATGAGCGAGGTAAGGAGTTTGATGAGCTAGGCAAAGAGTTAAATGAGCGATGCTAATTTAAATGAGCGAGGCAAAGAGTTAAATGAGCGAGGCAGAGTTAAATGAGCGAGGTAAGGAGTTTGATGAGCGAGGCAAAGAATTAAATGAGCGAGGAAAAGAGTTAAATGAGCTAGGCAAAGAGTTAAATGAGCGAGGCAGAGTTAAATGAGTGAGGCAAAGAGTTAAATGAGCGATTCTAATTTAAATGAGCGAGGCAAAGAGTTAAATGAGCAAGGTAAAGAGTTAAATTCAATATAGGTTATAATTTTCACAGGAAATAATATTTAATGAATTCGTTATTAACTTTACAAAGACTTGGATAGCAGTCTCATACGCCATATCATAGTACAAGTTAATAATGACGATTGGTCATATGATCAATTTTGTTTTTCTTTCCATTGGTTAACAGGGGAATGTCAATTTTCAAAAATCCATCAAATTCATCATCAATTTTCGACCTATCGTAATTGAGGAAAAAATTGAGAAAATTTGAGGTATTGGAAATAAAGTCAAGTTTTCCATCAATACCATAAGTATTTCCATCGCAGGTTAAGTAAATAAAAATTCAAACATAAAGAGGCTTTAACACGTAGTTCAATGGGGGAGCTAAGGTTGCCAAACTTATGGAGGGGAGTGTATGTTATGTTTGCTCATACTGTACTCCGGGTAAATTTCGACGCTATAAAATTTCGCGATTTTTCAAAATTGCAATTTCGCGGCTATTTAATTTCGCGGATTTGAGTTGATGACATTTTGCACAAGTTGAATTTTTTTCCGATTACCGTGAATCAATGCAGGCTATTCTAGCCCGTTCAGAAAATCTGAATAATATTTGTATTTCCCACGTTTAGGGCATTTATTTGAATATTCTTGAATGGCTTTTTCAATTTGTAGGATATCATTGTCGTCAACAGTTCTTGCCTTTGCTGGCCTAATAAGCCAAATTCAAAATGTTTTTAGGCCTTCGCCCAACAACACTGGAAGAAACGTTTCACACCGAACGAAACATATCAAAAGGCCCGGGTCAAATCCCCGGGGATTTAAGACAATTTTCGCGACGATAAATGTTCGCGATTTTACTACATTCGCGAACAAAGCGAAATTAAATCGCACGCGAACATTACCCGGAGTACAGTATTAGATTTAGATTGTTGACATACCAAATCATATAAAAGTGGCAACAAAAGGAATGAATTTAGTTATGTTTAGTATATTTTCCATGGATTGTAAAGTCTGTCATCCTGCTATTAAAGTATCAACTTATGTTGGTTTTTGTGTTATATATTTGGCAACGGGCAACGGCATTGGAAATTATACAAAATAGTAATGATAGATAAGGAATTTGTTGTCTGGATGTCCGCCACAAAAACCAACAACTGCATAGTGTCCCAACATGTATGATTTTCTCTGTGTTATGTTACATTTTTTGGGTAATAGGGACTTTCACTTGGTAATGAGGATTTGAGCAAGGATGTATTGCCTTAGCATGAGGATATAATCATATTCCTAAGTCATCATAGATATTCATTTAGGTAACGTTTTTGTAACCCTGCACCTTTTTATGTGTCATACCCAAAACATATTAATATTCTCTTGTTAATCAAAAGAATCTAATTATCAAAGTCAATTTATATCAGACTTGAAATGCAGTTCATTGTGGTATGCAGTTATGTGGTAAAAAGTAAAAAAAAAGTCAGTACAAACTGTATGTTCATTTTTTGTTGTGAAGTACAACGACATTTAATTTTTCTTGGGGCAGATTAGGGACTAGAAGTGTTGATATTCGACAGTAGACTTAGCGAGAGATAAATTTACCCTATATGTAAATATTTGAATTCTGATAATCGGACGATTTTATCACTGTCGACCAAAAGGATTACAGGTGTACACATTGAATGGAGTAATATAGTTCTCTTAGTACTAGAATAGAAAATGAAAGACACCCAAAACGTCATGACATTCGACAAAACCTTGTTAAATATTGGAGGATTCGGGAGGTACCAGAAGCTCCTTATTGTGGGATTCATTATGTTTTATTCAGGAAACGTTTGGCAGTTTATAAATATCAATTTTCTCGTTGGAGGCATGGATCATTGGTGTAGATTTGATGTTCACAATGGTGTAAATAAAAGTCAACTTAAGGAGCTGATGATTCCAAAATATATTAATGAGTTTGGTGAGAAAACCTACAGCAAATGTGAAATGTATGACGTCAATATTACCGAACAGGGTAATCGGGGAGATTTAGGCAAATTGACGCCGGACAGTAATTGGACGAGAGTACCTTGTAAATATGGTTGGGAATATGACCAAACTGAGTTTTATTCAAACTTAGTAAGTCAATACGGGCTGGTGTGCAGTCGTACATGGCTACAAACCATTCCAGCAATGTCTTTTGTCCTTGGTTCATGTTTTGGGTTTATCTTAGTTGGATACATGTCTGACAGATGGGGTAGAAAATGGACCGCAGTGATAATGCTTATATGCCAAGTAGTGTGTGTAACAGTTGAGGCATTTTCACCATATTTTTGGTTATTCCTTGGATTGCGATTCTTCGTAGGAGTTTCTATATCGGGAGGATATTCATCAATTTGGATTCTCGTGATAGAAAGTATGCCTCCAAAACATAGGAACCACTGTACATATTACGTTACCCTTGGGCGTATCCTTGACTTTATTTTGCCGTTAGTTGCGTATTTTGTTCGAAACCACATACACTTACATTTAGTTGGTGTGGGTGTCGCCATACCCGGATTAATTTGTGCTTTTGTCCTGCCCGAAAGCCCGAGATGGCTTCTATCCCGCAAACGATATGAAGAATATAATGCAGTTATGCATAGGATCGCTAGGATCAATAATGTTGCCAATCCTGAAGGAATAGACGAGAGTCCGACAGCAGAAAACAATAACAATGATGCAGTTAAAAGTGTGTCTGTCCTTAATTTTCTTAGAACGCCACGTCTCAGACAACGCACTCTGATTTTGTGGTTTCTTTGGTTCAGCAGGTCATTTATACTGTTTGCATTTATACTAAATATTGGTAAATTAGTTCCTGGTAATATATATCTCAATATGGCAATCGTAACAGCTGGGTCTGAGGTACCTACGTTTATAACAATATGGTTTGCTTTATTCAAATCTGGGAGAAGACTGGCAATCATGATCTATATTTTGATAAGTGGATTATGTTGTTTAATTATGATACCGCTTATAATGGTGAATATAAAATTGCTCGTGACGATATCTGCTATGATCGCATTGTCAACCGTGAAGACTATGTTGCGAATCCTGTTTCTGTATACAGGGGAAATATATCCAACACCAGCCAGGACCATTGGTGTTGGAAGCGCAGCAAGTATCAGTCGAATAGCAGCCCTGATGGCAACACAACTTCCTCTTTTAAAACAAATTTGGTTTGGCTTGCCATACGTTTGCCTTTCCACATTTGCTATAATCTCGAGTGTGTTAGCATATTTCCTCCCCGAAACAAAGAATTGCCATTTGCCAGAGACATTTGAAGAAGCGGAACTATTTGGGACGCCAAACTACAGGAATTCTGATTATGAGAATGTTAAAAGAAGTGACTCAATGTATCTTAGCGAGCCATTCATTAATACTGCTACTTTAGAAAAATAGCCACTGATACATTTTACTGACCATCCTAAAAATTTTGAATTGAGAAATTATGATTCATTTCTAAATGTATTCCTTGGTGATGAAAGCGTTGATTTTCCAACTTTGTAACCGGCAAACTTGGGACAGCAGTCTAGACCCCTAAAGCTGACATTATCACCTTTCCAATGGTGTATTGGAACCTTAGGGCAAATAGTGGCATTCTGTGAGTGTTTCATTTCATGGGACAACAGAGCTGTAACCAAAAGCTTATAAATTAAGATGTACAAAATATAAACAGAGCAAAGGATACGTAACCATTAGTGTACCAACAGGGAAATTTATTGAAAAGGGTAAAATGGAATTTCTGAATTATTTTGATATAATATGAATCTTAATAAAGTATATTT